AGATTTTATTAAGATTCATGTCCAAATGAAGCAGAGGACCAAACCAAGCTGGGGAAGGATGAACACACTGAGAAACTCAGATGGTGAGAGCTGAGATTCCCCTCTCTTGGTAAAATGCCAGCTCAGGGTTGGAAGCAATTATTTTAATTACTAAAAAAATTAAGGAAATAATGCAGTGGTTCAGAGGCACAATCCTGGATTACTCAAGTTTCTTAGGAAACCTTTCCATCCACGTTGCTGTGATGGTTTTTCTCTTTCCAAATCCCATGAGAGTTGCTCAAGGACAAAAGCTTGGGTGGAATCATAACCACAGCATGTTGGGCTGGCTCTGGAGGCAAAGCCAAGCGCAGGGACCCTTCTCATTCCAGAAAATAAAGTGGTTTTTGGTGAGCTCTGAGCTCCTGTAAGGAGAGCCTTGCATGTCTCCTGCTCCTCAGGAGCCCTGCTCAGCTCTGGAAGGAAATATCAAGTCATGTAAACCACTTTCTTCCAGTTTTGGGGCCAGCATCTCAGCTGGTGTAAGTCAGCAGAGCTGCAGTGACATTATTAGTGCTGCAGTGATTCACACCAGCTGTGGGTCTGCTTCTTCTGCCTTAATTTATGAACTAAATGTCAGGAAATATGAAATGATCTCTTATAGTCAGCAGTTCTCCAGATGTGTTAATGGAGTTTAAGTTTACCAAAAGGCAAGACTTCAAAAAGAGATCCAGCAGAGGGATAAACTTTGGGGGAGAATGCCTTGCTTACAGGCTTCCTGGCAAGAGGGGGCTGTGCAACTCGCTGCAGTTTACAGAAATTAACTCAGTTACGTGTCAGGATAGGGCAATGCAGCCTCCCTGAGAAACCCAAAATAATTTCACAGCACAGAGCAGGCTGCTGGCATTGTGCAAGTGGAAATCACCAAGCCCTAAAAGCAGAACTGAGCTGCTGGTGAGCTTGGCGTGAAGAGCCCAGTGCCTCCCGTCTGCGAGCATCGCATTTATTCAGGGCTGGGTTCATTCAGAGGCAGCTTTTTGGAGATTCAATGAGGACCGTGTTGTTACAAGGACACAGAAGCTTAATAGTTCTCACAGTGCGATGTGAAAACTCAACAGTGGCTTGGCTTAAGGATGTGCTCTCGTGGATGGTGTTGAAAACTGTTATTTTAGCCAATGAGGAGGGAATGGTTGTTGATGTTGCTTAAGCCCTGTCAGGCTTCCTTGTCTAAATCAGAAAACTCTGGAACTGCTGAAACCTCACAGACAACAAATGTGGGGTCTCAGAGGACTTTTAATTCTTTTTTGCCTGAATAATATATGAGCAAATGCTCCAAAAAAAAAAAAATTTAAAAAAAACTATACCTGAAATATCCCGTGGTGGCACAAAGGCCTCCACAGCCCAATTTATTTGCTAATGAGACCTTTCAGAATTAATTTAAATGATCGGTGGGTGGCTCCACGCTGTGTGGTTCACTGGGGATGGACTCACAGAGGTAAAAGGACAACACACCTTCAGTGATTGAACCTGAAATCCCTCTGCTGGGGCTTGGTGCCTGTATTTTATTTTTAAATAAGTTGATTTCTATCCACCAGAGCAGTGGGGGATGCTCTGAGGTCGCTGGTGAAGGGCCCAGATCTGTTCCACAGCTAATCCCAATGACTTTTTGGCGAGGCAAATATCTGCTTAGGTGTCACTGCGTGCCAAAAGGAATACAAAAGATGCTTGGCACCATTTATTCAGGCCTGAAGAAGAGTGTTTTGGAAGAGTTCTCAGAGAAAGCTCGTTAGACTGTCAGAGAAAGTAATTACCATACTCTGAATATAGCAATATTTTGAATTTAGAGGGGTTTGCAGAGCTGGAGTGGTGAGGAAACCCTTCTGGATCAGCATCCAACACTCAGCATTCCCAGGGCTTCTGCTGATGGCCATGGAGCACCACAGGGATGGAGTGGAGCTCATTTCCCACCGCCAGGAAACACAGAATGTTCAGAGCCCTGAGCCTCCAGGGGCCTGAGCAGCTGCAAGTGGGAGCCCCGCAGTGCCTGCTGTCTTAGGGAGCTCATTCCCCTTTGGAATTGACATTTTTTATAGAGATTTCAGCTCCCCAGAGATTCCTGGGTGGGAGTTACGGAAAAATTTGGTTCTGAAAATCGAAAAATTCATTAATTTGACCAACAGTGCTGACTGTACCACACGGAGCAGCTGAAGGCAGATGCTCGAATCAGTTCTGAAAAGGAAGAATTCATTGTGTGCCTCATTTCCCCGAGTCCTCACAGGGCAGCACTGGAGGGTACAACTCTCCACCGCTTCTCTCCAGCTCTTCCCATCCTGGGCAATACATGAAATTTTCACTTTTTTTGTCAGCACTGCAGCAGTGTAATAAACCTGGGCATGAACCCTGTGAAGCTGCAGCCACATCCTGAGCCAAGCTTAGGAGATCACATCCTCTGTTCAAGGCAGGGACTGATGCTGGTCCCTGGAATTCGTCATCACTGGGAACTCACAGCCCTGGAATTGATAAATCCCCTCTAAACGCACAGGAAAAAAGGTTTCTCTGCAGGATTCAGTTGTTTTTTGGGGGTTTTCTGGGTATTTTTGGGTTTTTTTTTTTTTGTGGATTCAGCCTATATAAGTGTAATTCCTGTAGGCACCAAAAGCTGTTGGATATGCCACTTTTCTGGTGTTTTTTGGAAACACAGGATACATCACCTTCACAAGGCACAAGGGCAGAACTGTCTGTACTGTAATCATGTCCTGGAGAGAGAGCAGAAATAGGGAAAATGATTAGCATGATTCCTGCATCAGGTCTGCTCTGCCCAGCTCTCCATGTGGGAATTGGGGGTGAAGTGGTCATTCTCAGGGTGTTCCAACAACCTCTAATGGTTGATTTAGAAAATCTGTTTAAATATAATTGTTATATAAATATAAAACTATGAATATAAATATATTCTATTTTTATATAGTTATATATTAAATATATATTATTTATATATTTGTATAAAATATTAAAACAAACTATATTATTAAATAATAATATTTTTTAAATATAAATATATAATAAGTATTTATATTTTAAAAATAAAAATTTATAACTCTTTTAATATAACTTTTTTATAAATATGAAACCATAAATATAAAAGATATATTATATATTTATATAAAATATAAATTATTTATATAAATTCCAAATATAAAGTATAATAATGAATATAAATATATGCTATATATAAGTAAAAATTTATAAACTCTTTTCAATATAAAATCTTATATAAATGTAAAACTATACATATATTCTATTTATATATTTACATATAACATATAAAAATATAAATTATTTATATCGTTATATAAAATGAGAAAATAAATATATTAATAAATATAAATGTAAATATATAATTTCTATAATTTCATCAACTTGTAATAGAAATTATAAATAGAAAACTATAATTCTATTTATTTATAGGTATATGAAAAAATATGTATGTATTTGTATAAGATATAAATATAAATATGCCTATAATTATAAAAATATTAACATATATTTTACATAAGTATAAATGTCTAAACTGTTTTTATATAGAATTTTATATAAATATTGTGATGGTTTGACACTGGCACAAAGCTGATGCCCCCACGAAAATACCCTCTCCCTGGTGTCTGCTGTGAGATGTGACCAGGAATAAGCAAAGCAGGCTCCCACTTAGAAATAAAGAAAACTTTATTAACTAAACTACAAGAAAATAACTAAACTACAAGGGAAAAGAAAAAAAACACACAAGGAAAATGAAAACTTCACAAATACATCTCCTCCCCACCAAATTCCCAATGCAATACATTCTCCCAAATCACCAACTCTCAGTCTGGCACCACCCTTTAGAATACTCAAACTTCAGTCCATCAAGAGGAGAGGAGTCCTTCTCGCACCATAGTCTTTCCCTGGAAACTGAAACCTCGTGTGCTTCCAATGTCACTCAGCACTGCCCGGAAAGTCCTTTTGCCGCTTGTGACATCTTCCTTCCATGCCCCGTGCTCTCACCCCTGTGCGTGGACCAGAGCTGCTTCTAGGGCTGTCTTTCAAGGATGCCTTGTCTCACTCCAAAAAGGCACAGTCTCTGCTTTGGGACATCTGTCCCCCTCATTTTTTCACCCCCTGGGGCCGAGGGGTCCCCACACTGAACCCTCCTGGCTCCGAGGCACTGCCTCCCCCTAAGTGCAGTCTCTGTGTCGCGGGAAAAAAATGGTTCAGTCTGTGACACAAGAAAAGTCCAGCCAAAAAGGCACTCCGTCATCTCTCCCTCCACTCAAGAGTCTTCTGCACTTCCCTCGTGGCCCATGCCCTCCTATCTCATCTCTTATCTCTCTTCTCATTCAGCTCCAGGAGGATCAGCATTTTGCAAGGTCTCAGTCATGCAAGAAAAGGATTAGAAATTCCACTCTCTGCTTGTCCGGAGCTCTGGAGCTCCCACGCTGCCCTGCCGGGCACCTTCTCGCCGCTCTCCCCTTCTCCTCCTGGGCCGCCGCTATCACATTCAGACACCGGCTCTCCCTCTCTCTCTCCTGGGGCTCCTCCACCCTTCCATCCTCACGGGCCTCCTCACCCCCATCTCTGTCCAGGCCCGGGCCTAGGCAGGGCTGCCCCTGCCCTGCCCAGCAGCACGGGGGAGGGAGATCCGACCTCTGTCCCTCCAAGTCCCAAGAGAGACTCCCAGAGCAGCAGCTCTGCTTTAACCCCTGTGTATTCTCAGAGGCGTATCCAAATCCCAGTGGTCAAACCAGGTGCCAATATTAAAATCTGAGCACCCATTGGTTTGACCACAACCTCCCAGAAAACCTGTTTCCTGTCAATGTCAAACCACCACAAATATATAAAGTATCAATTTATGCGATTTACAAACTGAATTTCCTCAGCCTGCTTTGCCACTGCTGCCCCAGCGAGGGATGAGGTCTGGAATAACCCCAAAATAAATTGGAATCACTGATATTTGTTTCCAACCTTGTGTGACATCGCTCTGTTTGTTCCAGGCCCGGCCCGGCCTCCTCGGGGCAGCGCTGCCCGGACTGGGATCTGGAAACCCTGGAGAACTCGTGTGGGCCAGAGGAGCTCTTCGAGGACATGTAGCCACTGTGGGCCGGGCACAGGGACACTGCTGCTCCCTCCAGGGATGAGTTATCAGCTAGAAGGGTTTTTGTTACAGAACAAAGCCGCAACTTTTGCTCTGAGGCTCTGAACCCTCCTGCACCACGCTTCTTGCAGACCTTGGCCTGCTGCACCTCATTTGTGGCCAAAACTGAGTTCAGCCCCTGTGTGGAGCTTTTCTCACCCGCATGGGGGAATTGAGGGCACTGTGGATGTATTTTTGCATCCTCACAGCCTCTGGTTGTGCTCAGGATCAACTATTTCCTAAGCACCAGGCCTGGGGTGATGCTAGACATGTGCTGAGCTCAGTCTTTCCCCAGGCTTGGATGGATAACTCAGCTTCATTTGCCAGGCTTGGATGGATAAATCAGCTTTATTTGAGGTGCAGGTGTGACTTTAGATTGGTTCTGAATCAAAGCAAACGTCCTTTTACTTGTGGCACTCCAGGTTTTGGGAGTAAAGTGCTACTAAGGTTGATATTGACTCTATTTTAACTTTCTGTAGAAACCCACAGTGTTTAAAATTGTGATTTTTGATACTTCAGCTTTTTCCTTATGGCAATTTCTTTAAAAAAAAGAAGAAAATTAAAATGCATTTGAAAAAATAAATCAAATTTGTCTTTGTTTGTTAAACAAAGGTAGTAGTTACCAAAGTGTTTTAATGCCTGAGCTTGTCTTGCCCCAAACTGATGCATTAATTTAGATTTAAATCTTCACCAAAAAAACAAAGTTAACATGCATTTACCTTTCAGTGGCCAAAATTAAGAGCTCGAGGTGGACCTCAGGATTCTGCTTCACATGTTCAGGACCTGAATCCATCCTTGCTTGAGACTGAAGGATCCAGTTCTTTCTGCAGAAGGAATCCCACTGAAGTCAGTCCTTGATATCATCTGTGGGTTGCAAAGTTCTTTGGTAAAATACTTGATATTTTTGAAGTGGCTCTGATTCTGCCAGAATTCCATCCTATACCCAATTAAAAGCATCCCTGTCAGTACTTACAGGCTTCACACAAGAACATGGGGATCTGGGAATATTATATTTAACCATTCCTCTCTGAAAATAAAACACAGTTACAGCGTTTTAAATTCACAAAGGGCTTTGGGACAGTGCTGTATATCACACAGCAAAAATAAGAATGGCCAAAATATTTTGCTTGCTAAAAAGGCTTTGTGCCTGGGAAGTGGCAGAGCCACAAAAGGGCCATTCATGCACCCATTCATAGGCACAGCCTGATTTAAAATCTTCCAGTGCTGATCGGACAATGCTTTCAGCAGAAGCTTGTATATGGTTTCAGTTTTAGAGTGAAAATGTTCCATGACTCAACCCAGAGCGCCAGAGCTTGGCTTGATGGTGCCTGCAGCAGAGAATGGAGCTGGACATCCCACAGAACGGCCCCCTTCCAGGAAACTGTTGGGTTTCTAAAAGTAAAATGTTGTTGTTGCAAATAGGAAATGTTACACGCTGTTGGCATGTGTAATAAAGTCCATGAGGGTATTTACTCTTTTCTTTTTTCTTTTTTTTTTTTTTGTTGGAGGGTTTTTTGGGGTTTTTTTGTTTGATTGGTTTTGAGGTTTGTTTTTTTTTTGTTTCTTGTGGGTTTTTGTTTTGGTGGTTTTTTTGGTTTTGTCTGGGTTTGGGTTTCTTTGGGGGTTTTGGGTTTTTTGGTTTTGGGGTGTTTTTGTATGTGTGGTTTTGGGTTTTTTTGTTTTTTGGGGTTTTTATGTTGGGGTTTTTAGTGGCGTTTTGTTTTTCATTTTTTGGCTTATTTTGTTGGTTTGTTTTTGGTTTTTGGGGTTTTTTTGTGTAGGGTTTTCTTGGATGCATTTTTTGTTTTTTGAATTTTTTGTCTTTTTGTCTTTTTGGGGGTTTTTTGGGGGTTTTGTTTGGTTTTTGTTCAGTTTTTTTTTTTGTTTTTATTGTTATTCTTTGGGATTTTTTTGTTTGCTTGTGGTTTTTTGGGGTTTTTTTGGTTTGGTTTGGTTTGGTTTGGTTTTTTTTGTTTTGTTTGGTTTTGGGTTTTTTTGTTTGTTGTTTTGTTTTGTTTGTTTGTTTTGTTTTGTTTTGCACACTCAGACATGCCTCTCCCCTCCTGGCAGTGTCCCCAGCCGGGGGAAATCCTTTCTGAAGATTTATTTGAGAAACTACTGGTTTTTGGGGGTTTTTTAATAAGTTTCCATTTTCCTCTCGACTTTGACTGGGAAAAAACCACCAATCTCCAAATCGCTTCAGATCCGTGTGGGTCTTTCATTGTGTGAGAACAGAGGTAATTTTTTCCTGCAAAAACTGAAGGAAATCAGTGAAAATCCCTCAGGAATTTGTCTGTGAGAGAAGTGGGGATCTCTGCTTTGTGCTTCAATTCATTCCTCCCTGTGCATGGAGATGTGGCCCAACCCACCCAGACAGGTGAAACTTATTTCAAATATTTCAAATTAACTCCTGCTCTTTGGGAAGGGAGCCCTGTGGAACAGCAACCAGAAATCACCTTTTTCTTTTTTTTTTTTTTTCCTTTTTTTCCTATTTTTCCCCCCCTGAATTCTAATATCATCCAAGCTGATGTTTGTGCAAGCCCTGGATTAAAAGGATGACCATTCCACTTAAAGGCTTCTTCTTGGGAAGGAAACAAAGCTCAGTTTTGGGGTTTTTTTTATGGCTCTGTTTTCCTGGTGCAGAAATATTTAACCAAGGAAAATCCTCCTGGAGTCACTGGGCAGGTGATTTTGGAAAGGGACTGTGAGAATAATCTCTGTAAATGCTTTCTTGTGAGCCTCAGCTTTTTGGGAATCCAACCAGTGGCTCCTTGCTGGAATACCCTTCCTGGGTAGGAAACAAACATGAAACCACTTGAATACTTTCAGTATTAAATGAAAAATGATTAAAAATGCTGTCCTCATTATCTTCCTCTCACACACAGAGCTGCTGTTCATGGGAGAGAGTCTGAAGGGAATATTTGATGGTAAAATTCGTGTCCAGAGGTAGACATCCACCCTGTGAGGGGCATGAAGCCATGAAGTGTTTACATATCTGGTTTTATGCAGCTATTACTGTAGAATTCATTTAATAATCATCAGTTCAGCATGTAGCACCCATGTTGCTCTGAGTAAATGATGTGATACCATATTGTCCTCCTTTTCCTGCTTAATTAGCCATGACTTCAAGGCCCTGCATCTCATTCCTAGTGCATGGTTCTGATTCCTGTTGGTTCAGAGACCAGGCTTGAGCTCTGCGTTTAATCAGTTTAATCACCTACCTCAATATCCTCCTGCAGCCCTTTCTTTCTGAGATGTTGCCAGGTCCTCTTGGGCTCCCGAGGTAGTGGAAAGATGATGTTAAAACTCAATTTTAACCAAAAGCCAGAGCTCTAGGCAGAAAAGGCTGTAGAAAAGTCTGTCCTCCAGACTCACATCTGCATAAAGACAGAGAAAGGCAATAAAATATATTTACAGGACTCTTCACAAGCCTGCTCAGCTCAAGTTTATGAAGACACTGGGAGAGCTTTCTATGCAGCAAAGAAACAAGGAGATGGGGAAGCACAGCAGTTCTTACATTAAACAGTGATTGAGAATTTATCAAAATGTGCAATATTGTGCTCAAGGATTTTCATTCCTGCTGCATTGGGAAGGCAGGTATTGACAGCATTTCCTCACAGTGACCATACAGTTAATTTCCCTTTCTGGGGAGGGGAGAAAATCATCTTTACGCTTCCTGGTACCTGGCAGGTCCTGGTCAGGCAGAAACCATCACCTGATATCCTGTGAGGATGAATGAATAAATTATTTACATTAATTGTCCATCAATTATTCACATGAGAGCAGAGAAAGCTCAGCAGCACCAGCCTGGTTCGGACCAGGCCATTCCCAGCTCCTCTGACCAGGAAATTGCAGTGGGATGATTCTGAACTCAGGAGTAAAATTCTGGTAATAAAAGCTAAAATCCACCTTGGTGTGGATCCTTTCTGCCCCTAAGTTGAAGGCATCCCTGCTCTCTGTTTTTTTTCAGCCTGTCTTAGCTCAGCTTTGATTCAGCTGGTGATGTTCCAGCCTTGCCTGGCTAACCACACTCATTCCAATTTATTTTATTTCACAGGCTGTGGGGGGAGAGCAGCGCAGGGTCTGGTCCTGAGCAGCTCCTCGTGCTGGAGGAGACAAAACCCCGAGTGCTGCTCGCTGTGTCTGCCTTGTTTCAGCCCCATGACTCCATCCTTCCCTGCTCAGAGCCAAAGCCCAGAGAGATGGGAAATGAAATCAGCTCTCTACGAGCTGCACTAATAAATATCCATAAAAAACAAGAGCGTCCTCCCCAGAACAAAGCAGCAATTGAGACATTTTAACCCAAAACTCTGCAATAAATTAATCAGAGCTGATTCGAGGCAAGAATTTTTTTTTTATTATTATTTTTTTTTTTTTGCTGCAGAGGCATGGAGGAAGTGAAATAATTTCTGCCTAGCACTTGGCCTCTTGCAGCTTGTCCTGCAAGCCTTGGAAAGATGGGGCAGGGCTCCTCGTGACAGCTCCCAGGAACGCTGTGTCTCCCACTTTGCCTTCAGCTGAGCTCCAGGGCCAAACGGGATGATGATTTATTTACTGCAACTGCTCCATAGCGAGCTGCTGTGAGCCCAGAATGAGCTGCTGTTTTGCAATGCTGGGATTTTGGGCTTTTTTCCTCCTTCTTAAACCTTGATTTTGCTTTCAGTTGTGCAGGAACAAGCTGGCAGTTTTCTCCAAGTGGGGCTGCTGCAAGGGCCCTTCCTGTTGCTGCCACCAGCCTCAATGGATGGCTCAGCTGCCCTCAGGGCAGGTTTTTTCATCTTTCAGGAGGTGTGTTTGCTGAGTTACGCCTAACCAGAGGTGTGCATGGACCTGTGTTCCATGGGGCCTCGCCATGGAACCTTCAGGCTTGCTCGGGACTGCTGAGGAGGGAAAATTCTCCAGTCAAACAGCCGAAATTAGAGAGCCCAAAGCAAAGTTTCGTGCACAAAAACCACTGGGCAAGGTCTGAAAACAATGAGATGTTTGGAACCGGCCCTGTCTGATTCTATCACTCCAGTTCAAGAGCCTAAAATGAGAAATTTAACTTAAGCAGCACAAGAAGATGCACAAAACCCTGTCCAAAAAAAAAGAAAAAAAACCCACCATCACCAACAACAAAAAACCCCCCAAAAATTCCAAAAAAACCCCCCAAAAAAACACAAAAAATCCCGCAAAAACAAAAACAAAACAACAAGCCCCCCCCCAGAAAAGAAAACCACCCCAAAAATATTAAGATGCAGTCTCTGGTTTCACAAAAAATATACGTAGGTTCCACACCACAACAGGTTCTTCATATCTTTTTCCTTTCTCCTCTGTACAAAAGTGATCTGGAGGGAAATTTTTATAAAACCAGGCTGGGCACATTCTTGCCATCTTTTTACTGTTTTTCAGTGATTTCTGTTTCCCAGCTCAGGGGAAAACTCTCAAATGGATGCTCACACCTCACAGCCTGGCCCAGCCGCTTTGTTCCCCCATTGCCTGTGACTGTGGCATCCTCACCCTGCCCCTCACCAGCACTGAGCTGCCAAATAAGCTCCTCCACACCCAGCCCTGAAATTACAAT